CAGGATTAAAAAAGGTATACACCCGCCTCAGACTTATAGTTTTCGAGATATTTGTATTTAAAGCTCAAAAATTTTAAAAGTAATACACGATATTTCACTAAGTTTAACACACTTTGCACACCTTTTTCAATTAATATATTTGCAATTACACTGTATACGTTGTAATATTATATATACATAAATAATGGTTCTGTGCGGAATACGTATCGTGCACTACGTTCATTTTATCGTATGATGCGATGAAGTGCACTTCTGGTTGAATGGCTACGTCAACAAACAAAACTGCCGCATTTGGAGTGAAGCTAATCTTCAAGTGCATGTCGAAACACCGTTTCATCCAAAAAAAACTGATTGTTTGGTGCGCTTTATGGGTTGGTGGAATCATTGGTCCGTACTTCTTCAAAACCGATGATGGATCATTGGTCTATGCGCATAAGCCACAAACGCCTAACCATTTGGAAGACAACATTCACCGTGTTATTGCCGATATACGGCCATGAGAAAAGTCATCTAAAATTGGACATCCAGATTGGACTACATCCGAGCCAGCCGTGGCGGTCATATGCCCAAAATCATATTTAAAATGTAGAGATTATTTTTCGGATAAATAAAATTCATGTCAATCGAATAATCCATCGTTGTTTTATTGCAATTTAAAGTTCTATACCTCTAAAAAAAAACACCCTGTTCTATACTATCCTATTTCGCTTTAAACTCCATTCAACATTGGCGGCCTTCGGCCGCGCTTCAAAAAAATAACCCTGGTCCGGGATGTCCATAATTCTTTGGCGTCGAACGTCTTTCTGCACAAATATATTCGTTGACAAATGTGTACAAAGTGTGTAAAACATAGTAAAATTGCGTGCATTACTTTTACAATTTTTGAACTTTAATTTTTGATCCTGGGGAACTCCTCTATCCGTTCATACCATCAGATAGCGGCGCCAACGAAATCATAATTTTGCCAAGCATTGCACTTATTTTGCATAAAGATTTCCTTTGGCAAGTATTTTGTGGAAAATTATAGAAGATAGTTATAGTTAGAGAGATGGTAGACGGATGCACAAAGAGGGAAAGTGCATGAGATCGATTTAAGTAGCAAAAAGGCACAAAACAACAACTGGATGGAGATAGTTCTGTGAAGCTAAAGATAATTGTAGACATTTTTATTAATTACTGTGTACTTAAAAGAAACTTGAAATTATTCTAAGAAGTAAGAACTCTCAGAAAAAACGAGATAGTTGTGTGAAGGTGAGCATTGTATGGTGAGCATGTAATGGTAGCCATTTTCCAGTAGTTAAAACAAACTGTTTTGAGCACATTTAAAGTATATATTATATTCATTCTTACTCCAACATTATATACACATACATATTAAATGAATTAAAAAGCAAAAATTCTCGAAAAATCAGTTGTAAGAAATCAACAATTCATCTAGTATAGGAAGCTGGTTTTTATATTTTTTGTTGAAATCGACTTTATGATAAACTGGTATAATAATAGATTTCGGATGATTGGTACAAATGTGTTTAATGGTTGGTATAGTGGCAGGTTAAGTTAGGTATTAGTTATAGGGACTTTACGGGTTCATATAAGTACTGCAATTTTTGGATTATTTTACCCTCTTAAGCACCATGTTGTGCTACTTTTAAATAAATAAATATATATGTCCATACATATGTTTTTGTTTGCTTTTGTGTGTACCTGTAATTGTTAACTTGCATGACCATTTGGATGTTCCCTCAACAGTTGCGAGTTCGGCTTGTTCTAATGAATCTATGTGTGTATCTGGATCCACACCAAATGTCATCCTTCAAAAATCATAAGTATTTATAAATTGAATTTTTTTAGATAACCAGTATAAGTAAATAAAATATGGGTGATGGAATTTGTAAAATACGTTTTCAATTGATTTCAATCTGAGAAGATTAGTACCTGGACAACAATGTATTAACCTAAGAGCAGAACAAAATCATTGCAAAGGTAAAAAAATATTAACTAAACTTTGCTGTGTGGTGTAAATTATATTAAACCGTTAAAAAATGCCATATGATACTGCTTAGCAGTTCTCATAAGGGTGTACACCGACTATAAATAGCCCACAACACAACAAATATCAAATAAATATGCTTGAATATGAAACAAAAAAAAACATCCAAATATATTAAAAACATACTATTTGCCTTGGTGACCTAAAAGAGAACAAATGTGTAGATATAGTTACTCAAAAATGCCATATAGCTAAGATAACCAAACTCAAGCAGAAGTAAAGAAGAATATGTACTCTCTTTATTGTAAATCGGCGCTAATTAAATATTAGCTGCCTTCGATTGGTCATTTTTCTGCTCCCCTGTCAAAAAATTTACATGTGTAAGCAACAACAAAATTATAGAGTTGAATTGAAGCAGGAGAGTATGCGTATACCTCATTAAAGTGGTATAACTTCTATCTCCAATGCTGCCAAGTTTTGTTTTGCATATTTTAGCTCACTTTTACTATTGTAAATGGTTTTGTAAATGAAATTACAAATTTCTTTTTTATTTTCTTGTATTTTAAAGCATAAGGCTTAAATTTAATTATGATAGCTTCTAGAATACCAAAATAAATGGTTACAGCAACATTTTTTACCGCGAAAAATAGATGTTCTCCACTTAGAAAGAATCATAACACTATTGCGCATGCGTCAGAACACACGTTAGCGCAGGATTGCACCACGAGTGCTGCTCGTTTGTTTGAGCATCTGGTATAATTTCTTCGATTTTCTGGAGAGAAACGCTTGGCAAATCGAAGACAGCTATTGTACACCTGCAAGTAATTCGTTAGCTAGTAAATCTCTACGATGTCTAATATTTGAGCAGAGAAGAAAAACAGCATACTGCACGCTCCACAGTCATTTCAGTAATTTATAAATATGTTGTAAGTTATTTTATTTAATTCTAAAAATAAGTCATAATATATAAACCACTTGTATAAATATATGTAGAGAACCCAATAAATAAATTTTCCATATTATTTGTAATAGTTTATTACTCTTAAATGATGTATTAACACATTTAGCTTAAAATAAAGGATGTTTTCTTATAAGACCGGTTAATGCATCAGCATTCCAAATATGTATTAAAATTATATATATTTATATTGTATATATAATTACTGGAGTAATATGTGCTAACAAAATTTCACTATTCAATATTCCCCATAAATATGTTGGTCATAAACCGACTTTATTTATATTCAAAAACGTAGTGTATGTAAAGAAATTAATGTTCTTTTGAAATTTATGTGAATAAAATAATTGTAAAATCTGATTTTATAGAACAGAACGTTATGATTTGTTACGCGGTGAGGGGAGGTATCATAAACAGAGAAAATATGCATTACGTAATACGTTGTAAGTACGAAGTTTAGTTAAGGCTAATTTGTTTAGAAATATGGACTCATTTTTTCAAACTATCGGTTACACATTTAAGGTAGCGATGGAAGTTGACTACACAATAGTCTTGCTTACCAGCGACCTAGAAACTCAATAACAGCTCCGCTAAAGTGAAATTTTCTGACCATTCGTTATTCGATAATATAGTAACATGTGAAGCAAAAAACCAGTTAATAAAGTAAAAAATACAAAGAAAAAAATTTAGTGGAGTTGCAAAATCTTGTTTCAAATATAATATTGTTCTTGCTGCCGAAGTTAGCATAATTGGATAGGACACGAGTGTATTAGCATTGAACAGAGCAATAATTAAACAGTACAAAAGACCAACGAGAACGAAATCGAATTCATTTGCAGCCTCAGTATGAATACGCAATCTCAATATTTTCAATATTATCCCAATAAATCTCCATAAAGTATAAATCTTTAGCCGATTGATTTACATATGTATATATAAAAGCTGCTAAGAAATTAATGATACGACGACAGCTTTGCAAATGATTGAGCAGGTGGCTGTAAATTACTTGTATTAATCTAGGTCAACGATTCAAGAATATACGCATTTTAATTTCTAGTAGATATAACCATTTATAGTATATACTATAGAAGAATCGCCGACTTAAATATAAATTGGGGTAATGGAATTATACAAAAAAAGTAAAAAATATATATGCATGTACTTTCGTAAACTCAGCACAAACTAACTCTATAATTATGTTAACTTAATAGTAAAACATATTTTTGTCTAACCATTGTAGCATTCAAAGTCATTAATGGTTTTTCCAACAGCTGTTTTTACAATTTTAAAAGTGCATATACATATATAAATTACAACATATTTTAAATACAACATTTACTGTTTATTTGTACTTCATATGCACCCTGTGAGAAACACTAAAATGCATCTATTTATGTGTAGGTTTCTTGTTAAAAGCCTATTAGTATTTGACACCAATGAAATATAAAAAGTTACATTGGATATTTTTCTACTGAGATCACACACATTGACGAGATTTTCTTACAGGGGATACATATATTGGCAAATATTTATATGTAAACAGATAAGTTCTTAGAAAACAATTATGTACATATTTATATGCATAATTAGTTATTCCACTTGATATAACAACAATATCCTTTAAATATATAATAAATATATATTATCGTCGTGGTTGTTCAGCAAATTAATTTAAAATTATACTAATAACAAATAAGTTATAAATATGTCTGTCTGTAGCATTGTATGTTTTTTGTTGTTTGCGCTAAATTTGACTCAAAATTTAGCTTGAGCGCCCTGTCAAATGAGCATGTCATTTTTGTGTATGCGTGCTTATGTGTACCGGTAAGGCTGTAAATGTACATTTATATTAAGTAACATTACTATAATTTACATATTATAGTATTTACTAATGTAGGTTCGTATATATAAATTTAATATTTTTAGAGTATGCACATGTATACGTACATATATATGTATGTACAAACATGTGTATTGGCATTTGTATATGATTTTTGTGCATAAAACAAGTTACTAACAAAATACTTGATTCATAGTTTAAAATATGCAAACCTGTTATTGCAATTTTAGCCGACCATTTGCTAGTACCATCCAAAACGCTTTGCTTAACAGCTTTCATGTGACCTGTGTGACTTTTCTCTTCTACGCTGAATACCGCGCTGCGCATGTGCACAGTTAATGGAGTGGTAGTAGTTGTTGTAGATAGTAGGTTAATATTTAGGTGGTTAAACGATAGGTTCACATACATATTGATAGTTTTTAAAAGAATATAAGTAGATAGCTATACGTAGATACATATCATGTTTTAACTGTTATGTTATAGAAAACAAATTGTTTTCTATATTAACCAATTTTGGGCGAACATGGATTTAAGAAACTAGTTTTTCTTAATTATAGAATAAACAATGCTACACATATGACAAAAGTAAATAAATAACAAATCACATTATGGCAGCAAATATTTAATGTATTTGCAAATTCTAAAAATATTGGGGTATGTTTTGAAACCCCTCTATATAAGCCGAATAGGATTAGCATCGTACATTAAAAATGGGCCCTGATACTGATTACATTTGAACTATGGGCATCAAAAAAGCGTATATATTGAAATAATTTCGAAAATTAGAACAAAATAAATAACTTCGACATATGAATTTAATATTTTTGATTTTATCTCAAATACTGAAACAATTAAACCACAATTAAAACTTTGGTTTTTTTTTCATGAGCATACCCTTTTTGTATTTTGTAGCATAATAATAATTATCTGATGAGTAAACCCTGCTGATAAATGACACAACAATTATTTGATAATAAAATGCCTTAAACAAAAGTCATAACTTGGTAAGATAAAAGCAAAATATGTTATTCATATTTTGAAATAACATTTGAAAATATTTTTAATAATATTAATGAAAATAAAAGCGTAGTTGAAAGCTTAAAGTAAAATATTAACATTGTGTAAAGTTGAGTGAGGTATCGGTCCAAAATTTCTAACGTTAAACATTTGAGGAAATTCAGTTCACATGAGTGCATATTGAATAGGTTACAACAGGAAACTATAAACAACACAATTTGACCCTTTAGCAACCAAAATGAAAGGAAAATATGTCTCAGTTACTGAATAATATCTCTATCACTGACTAAAAGTAAGGGAAACAGAATTTATATAACAAAAAGAAAAAACGTTAACTTCGGTAACACCGAAGATATAATACCCTTCACAAATACAAATGTTTCTATACAAGAACTGGATTTTGATCAGTCAGTTTGTATGTCAGATATATGCTATAGTGATTCGATCAGAACAACTTCTACGGAGATTGTGGAATTGTCTTGGACAATATGGTATACCAAATTTTGTACAGATATTTTTTATATGAAAAAATGTTCCATACAAGAGCTTGAAAATTTGTTCGGAAAACATAGCGATACCTTGGATCTATGCCAAATTTCGTCAAATGTCAAATAAAACAGATTTCCATACAAGAACTTAATATGCTAGAACTATTCATAACTAAAGTAACACATATGCTATTTGAAAAATAGCACGTCTTATTATTTATCATATTTGTATTTACTCTAAAAAGGAAACATGTTAAGTAACGCCATGATGTATAGTATGAACCAGAAAATAAGAATGAATTTACACAACGGTTTTTAGTACTAATCGTTTTCTATTTATCAACACAATGGAAAATTTCGGTACTAGTATTTTGAGTTGTTTCGTAGCAAGATTACCTTACTCAACCTCTGTTAAGAAGCTCTAAGTTTCTAGTGTCGTGTTCGAAAATTTTGAGTGACACCCTCAGATCGATTGCGCTACGTGATAAAAAGACTAAACAAGAACGTTTTAATTCAAAAAACAAAACTCGTAACTTAGCTTGAGAGTATTGTAAAGGACGTTTAATTCAAAAAATAAAACTCGTAACTTTGCTTGAGAGTATTGTACTTATAATATAAGAATTAAAGAAAATTATTGAAAATATATAACAGTTAATAAAAGTAAATGTACGTGATAGTATTAGTACCGTCTAATACCCTTCTGCAAACACTGTCTTGACATTTCTACAGATTTTAATAAAAATAATACAGCCGACTTGACCAAAACCACGTAGTACAAGGGCTTTGTTATAAACCCGCGGACTACACCTGTCTAAACGTATTATTCAGTGATGTAACCTTGTATTATTTATACCGTTACCGTAAAAGCGTTAGCGTTATTAAACATTGTAACCATTCATGAAACATGTTTTATGCAGAAATGTGTATCTCTTATATTACGAGTATTTGCACGAAAACGACGATACATTTTTCTATAAGTAAACCATAATTTTGAAGCAAATAATCTTTATAAACATAAATGATTAAATAAGTACATGTTTGAACTAATTAATTGAAACCAAGTGAAATTTATCGATTAAAATTTAATGTTAAAATCATTGTGTTTTTAAATATTTTTTTATTATATCCTTAATAGTTTTGTATATTAGCACTCACAGATATATATATATATATAGTACATATAAATATATATACGTACTATGTCCTCAGCTGAAGTATGAAATTTGTATGTATACAGGTGAATAAGTACAGAAAACTTATTTCGTTTTTTTCTTATTTCGACAATAGCATTCAACTTTGGTAAATATGAAATATAAACTTTTTTTTTTCATTGCTAATAACATCGTTAAGCTAAGACGCTTTTGCTTCTCTTTTGTATCGAGTATGTTGATACATGCAAGTACTCAAACAATAATTACAAAGCTTAAGTCCATTGTTTCTAAAAGGAATTATGTAGGCAGCGTAATAGTTTGCAGGTGATTTTCATTTATTCTCCATTTGTCCATAGAGCCTTATGCAGCCACGCGATCGGTATCGATCCAATATATACCTACGTCTAATTTTGACTAGTTCATAATCGAAGTTTTGCAATGACATGTACATCGACCTCAATTTTGTAAACTCAGATAAGACAATAAATCACTAAAACTGCGACACAACTGAAAAAGTTTTCTGTTAAACTAGGTGAAGCTTTTATAAAACTACCTTTCCAATAACGTTTGAAACAACCTCATATGATCAAGGCTACAAAGATATATTGTGATATTGAAAAGCTGTTAAATATTACAACTTTTTAATCATAATAATGTACTTTCTTCGTGGTTAGTAATAGAAGACAACAACTAATTCATATTTTAAATTAATATTAACTTTCCTTGGGCTTTTGGCTTTCGTTAACTATTTCTTGTGTATGTATGTATGCTCTATATAGAAGGTTTATTAATAGGTTTGGCAAGTTTCTTTAGACACTATATAAATGTCCGAGATAAATTCCTAAACTACTGAACCGATTTTAATAAAATTAAGCGTACTGTGTTCAGTTTGAGCGCGATAGCTTAAAAAATAAACTAATTATTTATAGTCGCGAAATTCTTTTAATGCAAATTATTTGTTTATTATATGAGAAAGGGTTATAATTATCTGTAAAATTTGAACAGAAGACGGTGTAAGGTGTTTTAACCGCTGGATTAAGTACATTGCGCTATCTAAGAAGTTAAAATATGTCATATATACTACAAAATCATCATCGGAATCGGTCATAATAGCATTGGAGATATTTCGCCAAATGGTGGACGAACGACGCAACAGCATTTAAATTACAATTAGATATTAATGACAATAAAAAAATCAACTCGACTCGAAAGTTTTATGAAGAAATGGTCCTGTTACAGCGAATTTTTATGATATCGTCAGAATTTACCTTACCTTTCCGATGGTAACAGTTTCCTTTAATTAAACTTTCATCATGACTATAAATAAGTCCCCAAAAACCAAAAAAAAAAATTCCATTTTCGGTTTAGATTTTTAAAACTCATACTTTTCCTCATTCGCAAATATTTATATCAATCATTTTCAAATTTAGACCTCAAGTTCAGTCCGTCTGATTATTATACCGCCAATAATGATAAAGTCTTTATTCGTAAATAATAATAATTTTTACTGTATTGAATAGTTTATTATAATAACATTTAATGTATACCAAAGCTATAGCAACGCGTGGTCGAATCTTCTAGTCTATATATATATATATATATGGATATATATATAACTGTGAGTGTGTGTGTTGGGTTTTTTACCTTTTCGTTAAACGGCACTATAGTCAAATAAATTTATAACTTAAACCTATGGAGCTTACCGGATTAATTCGAAAATCTCGGGTTTTTCACGTTCACGCTGCCTCATCCGATCCTTCATAGCTGTTATAATTGAATTGGCTTTGTCTTCAGCTCCATGCTTTGAGCTTTTTTCAGCGGCTCCTGTGTATTAAAAAAAAAAATTAAAACAAAAAACAGATTTTTCCGAGATATCGTTTTTTCAGCATTTTGTAATATGCTTTGACGACTCTATATATACCACACTATTTATCTACATTAGGGTGGGCGAAAACAAAACTTTTATTTTTTTTCCTTAGATAAAGTGAAAATATCGTCAGAATTGACAAAAACAAAATTTCAAGAAGGTTTTGTTAGAATAATGAAAATCATGTATCACTAGCAGATCATTCTATTTGCCATCCCTCTTGGGGTAAGAGGACATCATATAGACGATGAGATGTGAACATCTAACTTTTAATATTATTTATATTCAATTCGTTAGCACATAACTGCTTCATAGGGAGCCAACTGGGTGAGTGAGGCGCGCTGCACTTTAACATATTTCATGACATTGACTTCCCTCCAGTGGCAGAATGACGCCTACATCGCATATTATATTGCGGCCTAGCCGAGCGGGTCGCCGCTCACCACGCGACTTCTCTCTAATATTTACATTTTTAACTTCGAATAACATCTTTCATTTAATTCAAAAAGCTATATGAAAGTATTGAATCAGTCTTGAATAAGATATGGTATATGGTACAAATAAAGGTCACAGGCGGCATTTTAATTATTATTTGTTAAATAAAAGAATGCTTATTGGGGGTAACTATAACAGTTAGACATATGCTGCAACGTATATTATATAATTATATGTTCTGCAAAGTCGTAGTACATTATTTTGTTCTATAATCCATAGTATTCGCACCGCACGCTCATATCTTTCCTCTTTATAATAATAGTATAGATATGGGAGTGGGGGTAATTCTATACTAAATTCACATATTTTCCGCATTAAACTATAGTATATAAAATAAAATACTCCGTTACCTTTGCTAAGATATCTTGCATATTGACGTAAATTTATGGTTTGAGGCCAACCGGATGTTTGAAAATCGTGTATTATGTATATCGGAGATAGGGGTATTATAGACCCAATTTTATCTATTTTTGGCAATATCACATACTATTAACATACATACTAATAAAATACTCCCTGAGATTCATTAAAGTACCTCACTTACCATCACTAGTCAGCCGTTCGAAATCCTGATATTAGTTATATGAGGGCTAGGATAAAGTTTCAACCGATTTTGTCTACTTTAGGCACAAATTGTTATTAGTAAACTACGCTCTCTCATTTTCACTAAGATAGCTCACATATTCGCCGATATATGCGGTATAAAGTCAGCCGGAAATTCGAAAATATTTATATTAGGTATATAGGGGCTAAGGGAAATATTGGCCCAAATTGGTAAAATGTCAACTACAGGTACTGAGGTCCACATCTTCGGTATCTGGGGGCTTAAACAGTTATGGTCTGATTTTGACAATTTTTATACTTGAGATGGCATATCTTAAAGGCACCATTTGTGCAAAATGTTATCCTGATATATTCATTGGGGCTTGATTTGTATACTAGAAAGATAAAGAATTAGAATTTAAAGTTGTGTTAAATGGGTAATAGGCGTGTTTGTAGTCCGATTTCGCTCACGCTGTGACATATCAATGTTAAATCAATTCTATATACCAAATTTGGTTGAAATTAGTCGAGTAGATCCGGAGATATGTGATTTCACCTAAATTTGGGCGCTGCCACACCCATTGTCCAATTTCGACACCGGCTCCTATAAAGCCCTCTTGCACCATCCCGGATGTAAAACTTCATGTCTCTGACGCCTTTAGTTATTGATTTTTCTTTAAGTAGTTTTTAACAAACCCGTTATATGGGGAGTGAGCAGGGTTATCATCCGATTTCTCTAATTTTCACACTGTTGTAGAGGTATTAAATGTATTTGACCTGCGCGAGTTTGGATGATATATATTTCTGGTGATATAGTTTGAATATTTGGGAGATATATACATTAAACCTACTAGGGTCGGGGCCATCTCCATTTTTAAAAGAGTTTTAGCCCAGAGGTGCCCCTAATTAATGCGATTTGTTGTACTAAACTAGAGCTTTATATACTAAAATACAAAGTTATAGCACTTTATATGTTTTAGCTTAACGGCACTTTGTGGCCGTGGCAATGGCTAAACCTATAAGTTTCTTAATTTTTATATGTTAACTACTCCCACCTCAAGTCGATGACCGTCCTCGGTTTTTTTTATAGTTGTTGATGAACTTCTGTATCTCCCGCGAAGCTTGTTTTCTCTCTCAGATTTTCCATATGATCATAAAGCCACTTAAGATGACGCTGAGAGCAACACCGGCGATAATCCATGTATTGAATGTGTCGGTGGACGCCAGCTCGTCTTCGACATCTTGGATGACACGAAGATTGACATTGTTCATTCTATGGAGTTGCGGCATACTCAAGACTGGGTCGTAACTAACGATGTTAAGCAGCGGTAACCCCCCTATGCCTGCCTTCCTATTTAGTATCTCACGCTGGTTCACATATTTCGTTCCATTGATGATTGCGGCGAAACGGAAGGTGACGAGGTGTTTCCCGTTCGTAATGATCTCTGGGCCATCGTCTGTACTGAGCCTTGCTGTGCTCTCGTTGATAATTATGATTTCATCATCTACTTGCGAGATAGACTGCAGGCGGCTTGGCTGAGTGCGGCAGGAGGACACGCCGCTAGCATGCAGTGCTCGTGCACAGGTGTTTTGTGCCGTTAACTTGCAAACGGATGCGAATGCTGTTGTTACGCATTCGTTAACCGCTAGTACGTCATCGTTGCATTCGGCTACGGTGTCATCTTGTAGCAGTAGTGTTACATGTTGATGTGATATCGGGAAAATGGGGACTCTGGTACAGATAAACTTAATTCTAGGGTAGACTACGAGTATATGAATTATATTCTCGGACTGTAGCTTTAGCCAATGTAATTGTGAGAATCAAGTTTGAAATCTGGTTTATTAACATTCTATTTCTCGTTAATACTGTCTCATATTAATGCGGTGTGTCAACCAACTCATTATTTTTTTCTTTAATTATTTCATTTATCATATCTGTGAGTTTATTAATTTGTTTCTGTGTTTCTGAATTAATTACTATTTGCCTATTATTTGCATCGACTAACTTTGACTCGGACCATTTAACTTTTTCAAAATCGGCCGCATTTGGCGTGCCGGCTATTACCTTGAGTGCTGAACCTAGGAAGTCCAGACTTCTTGCCATTCTATGGTGCACTTTTATTATGGACAACAAATTTCTAATATGTTCTATATCCACGTCTAATAACTTTCGCATATGCGGTTGAGGGAATAACTCTGCTAATTCTGCGGTCTCATCTAACATGCTAGCATATTCTGTCAGTTTACTCGAATGACTTAATTAGTCCCTTTGTTCCCATACCAATACTTTCCCGTCTATCACCGGAATATAATTGGAATGAGAGTAGTCGACGATCCGACAATATACGACTCCTGACAATAAAAGGACTGCAAATTTAATCCTGCAAAGATAGGAGGAAATAAAGATCGTTATGTGCTTAACTATTAACCTTAGCCTGTGCGATTTTCCCGTGTGTAAGTAAGTGCTACTTAAGGTTGTCTTTGTGGGGCCACCCTCCCTCTAATAAGAACAGACGTTCCCAGGTCTTCTTGAATCGTTTCCTCTAAGCAAAGCGGTGTTAACTTATGTCCTAACCTTTTATTTTTTTTTTCGAACACTTTTTCGCCAACTTCAAAAACTCTATTTTGCCTGTTCGGGTTAAATCTTTCAATGTTATCATGTTGATCTTTTGCGATTTTATTTTTTATGGTCCGCCTGAGTTCGTTTGATGCTGCGTGAATCACATCGATCGGGGTTTGGTTTGTGACCGAGTGCATGGATCGATTATAGGCTATTGTTGCCCTCAAAATTAACTCGGCTGTGTCATCAGACATTATGTCCCCAAGAGTGCCATGAAGGCGTTCCACTTGTCCATTTGAGCAACTTTTAAGAGGTGGTGCATTCACAATGTCTATGTCATACCCGTTTTTTAACAGTGATCTAATTGTCTCCGAATTGAAAGCGGCTTCATTGTCGATATAAATTGTTTTGTTTGAGGAAACAAATTTAGAAGTTGGATAATGGACATTTTTACATCCATTATCGTGCAAGACGCGATCGGTTGTATAAGGACAAACTTCGAGAACTTGTCAACGCAGTAAGGAACGATTTTTTGTCCGTTGAAAAAATGTCAATGTGGAGCATTCCTCAAGCATATGATGGAACTAGTGTTACCCCAAACATTTGTTTCTTGGGGTGCTTGTCGTGTTTCGCTTTGGTACATGATTTGCAATTGATCACCACCTCATTGGCTAATTTTGCCATTTTCGGAAAATAATAATAAGGAAGGATTTGTTTAATATTTTCTTGAGCGGTCCTATGCGCGCGATTGTGTTCAGTGATGATAATTTCAGTTTGTTCACCTTTGGTTGTAATGTCGACAACGATATTTTTGCAGTGCCAGAACTTAGTTGCCGGAAAAGTTAACACCAAATCATGTTGTATACTGACTGGCCAACGTCGGTAAATCACAGTAAATCGCGTTTACTGAGTTGGTACTAACGAGTGGTTTAATTATTTCGAATAGAGCGTTTTTATCTGTGAAAAGAACGAACTGGTTCCCGAAGCAATTTAAAGGCTTTTCTGCCGAATCGATTGTGTAGGAAAATGATATTTCACTGTGAATTGTCGCAGCATCTGACTGAACTTCATTTTCCAGATTGTTCACATTCTGTCGGTTTTCTTTGCCGAGTTTGTAGAACACTTTTGCATTGTATTCATCAATGTATGATTTCCATCTCTTGATTTTCGCATTTGTGTTCCTATCAGATACAGCGAAGGTGAGGGGTTGGTGGTCTGTAAAAATTTTGATTTCTTTTGACCCATGGCTAACAACTCCCTTTCGTTTGTGGCATAGTGCGCTTCGCTTTGTTTTAGCGTTCGCGAAATCATGGTAATTGGTTTGCCTCCTTGAGACAGAACCGCACCGATGCCGTCCAT